GTGGAATTTATTTTTTTATTAATTCGTTACAGCATTTATGCCTTGCCCGTCCTCGTGGCTCAAGGCGGCTCACAATAATAGTTTAAAACATCCCAGGTAAAACCGTAAAAAACCCATAAAATAACAAACCACAAAACTCTGCCTTCCTCTCCCCCTTAAGAGAGCCAGTTTGGTGTAGGGGTTAGGAGCGCAGACTCTAATCTGGGAGAACCAGGTTTGATTCCCCACTCCTCCACACGCAGCTGCTGGTGTGACTTTGGGTCAATCATAAGTTCTTTCAGAGCTGTTCTCTCAAGGGCAGTTATCGAGAGAGGGATCTCTCAGCCCCACCTACCTCACAGGGTGTCTGTTGTGGGGAGAGGAAGGGAAAGGAGTTTGTCATCCACTCTGAGACTCCTTCGGGTAGTGAAGGGCGGGGTATAAATCCAATCTCCTCCTCCTCCTGCTTATTCTGCTTCTGGTTCTTCTGCTGCTGCTCCTGCTTCTTCTAAGATGCCTGCCATCCACACCCCCTGGCAGACAAGCAGAGCTGCTGAAGATCACCAAGGAGCCCCCCCCCTTTCATCTCTTCAGGGAGCCCCTTCCGCAGAGCTGGAATCACAATGGCGAAGGCCCGGGTTCTGGTCAACGCCTGAGCTTTCGTGTCCTGTCCAGCCACTGAAAGGCCCGAGCCTCTTGGTGCTTATCCCATTTGATCCTCACCATCCTGCAAGGTGGATTAGAAAGTTACTGGAGAGGACTCACCTAGTGAGCTTCATGGCTGACCAGGAATTCGAACCCTGGTCTCCCCACAGCAAGCTCAGCCTCCTTCCACTATCCCCCAGGAATTGTAGTAAACTGCTTCTGTATGTAGAGCCTGAATTTGGCTGCATGTAGCTGCTGACGGACTCCGTGGTATGTTGTCGAAGGCTTTCACGGCTGGAGTTCATTAGCTGTTGTAGATTTTCCGGGCTGTATGGCCGTGGTCTTAGCACTGTCAGGGGTCATTTCCTGCGGGAGCGCACAGGAGTGGAGCTCTGGCAGTAAGGAGCCCAGGGGGCGGGCACATGCAACAAGTCCCGCCCCCTGCTCCCAGCAGCCCTCAGTCGGGCCACGAGGAACAAGAAGCAGCCAGGTAAGTTGCAGAGCCCCCCCCCCCAGCCCGCCTTCAGGTACAAGCTCTCCCTCCTCTGTGAGGGCAGATCTGCACGTTCCCCCCTCCCCCAATAGCTAGCAATCCAAAACAGTCCAGTGGCACCT